ATTTACGAAAGGTTAGAAAATATTTTTAAAATATAAAATAATTAAGTAATAATTTAATTAAAAAAAAATCATGTTAAGTTATTAAATAACTTAAGGTTTGATTCTAAGATCATGATTCTAAATTTAACAAATTTAGTTAAAAAGACTATACATATAAGGAATCGATTGTCTTAAGCTTCGAAGAAAAGCAGCCGACTACCATGGGCATGGAGTCGACTATTTTGACAATAAAATCTAAACATAGTTTTTTATGTAAGATAACAATTAATTGTCAACTTAAAGCAATTAACTGCTATAATTGAAAATGAGTAGAACCAGTTTCTAATCCTAACGGAATTGGCTATCAATATAAAAAGTCTTCCAGAAATTAATTTAGGCTATAGCAATTGATTGTTATAAATTAGGAGTCGATTGCTCTATAATTGACTATTAATGGAGCTTTTTTAAAATTGAAAGGAGTTAATTGCTATATGAAGCAATTGGCTACTTAAATGTCGAATGCATTTCATAAAATAAAAGAAATTTATTGTTTTTATAAATGAGTGAATTATCTTATTTCAAAAAATATTTTAGAAATAAAAAATATAAAATTTAGTCGATTTACTTTTAGGTGGAGTTGATTGCTCTATATGAAAAATTATAAATTTAAAAAATGTAAAAAATAATTTCTCTTTTAATAAAAAGTTTGATTATTCAAATATGTAAATATGTTCTTGATGATTCAAAGAGACATATTTCTAATCAAAAAATTAATTAATTAAAATAATATAATTACAAAGTCACAACCTTAAAGTTTAATATTTATAAATATATATTAATGTGAATTCATTTAAACAATATAATTAAATAATTTGAAAGTAGAAAACTTTCTTTTTTTTCATCATCTTCTCTCATTAAAGGCAAGTTTCTTTAATATTATTATTGAAAATATTGACTCAACTATCCCATAAGAAATTTGTTTGAGATTTATTAGAGATTTATTTGAGATTTATTAGATATTGCTTGATGGACAAGAAGACTTGCAAAAAAGAATTCTAAGAGAAATGAGATTCTTAATAAGTAAGTTTGACTTGTAATAAAAGAATTATAAAAAGAGAAGGATTCTTAAAAGGCAAGTTTAACTTACAGGAAAAAAATTCTAAGAGGAGAAGGATTCTTAATGGACAAGTTTGTATGATTATAAATATGTGAAGTCTCTATTAGATATGAGAAAAAGATGTAAAAGAGTTGTAAAGTTTTGTGGGATAGACACCTCATAGGAGTATTAAGGCTTTACGTCTTATGGGTGTGTATGTTTGTTTGTAAGTGGATTAAAAGAGACTGAAAGGGTCCACATAAATATGATGTATAAAAGTACATGGATATGTGTTTGGTTATATTAAAAGGGTGCATAAGAGTTTAGATTTATGTTTGTTTGGGTTAAGAATATTCCATAAGACTAAAGGAGATTGAGAGTATCTTATGAGTATTGATTGTTGAGTGAGGTTGATGATTTTATGTATGTTTATAATTTTCTACAACTAGTGGATCTTGTTTCTCATCCGTGGACGTAGGTTGATTGAATCGAACCACGTTAAATTATTATCTCTTGTGTGTTTGATTTCGCTTCTGCTGATGCGATTGGATTGAAGGCTTTTAACCCAACAATTCTTTGTTACAAAAAATTTTATTGATGCTAAGGTAATCTCATTCTTCTCAAGGAGTATTTAATAGTTTATTTTACTAATATAAAATAATAACATATAAGATTTTATTATATATTGGAGGTATTTTCGGTTAACTTTTTTGCATATTATAATTAGTTAGAGACAAAATAAACTTTAAAAAAAGTAACATGTGCAGCATGCTTGAAGTCATTTCCTTTCATAATTGAACATCCAAATTATTCTACCCAACTGCACGACAAGGATGCTACAAAAAATTTACAAATATCAAATCATTCAAGTTCCACTAATTATTTTTCTTGTAGCCTTGTGATTTTCTACTAAAACGAATCAATTAATTTAGTCATAAATTAATAGATCACATCTTTAAATTCATTCATTAACTATATGTCATATAAAAAAATACAGATATATAAAACAAAATTGATGGGTATGTAGCATGACTCATTTTATCCCGTGATATTTTTTCTGTTAAAATATCACAGTTTTGATATCACTTGTTGGGTTAAAAAATCTTAATCCAATTAGGTTAGCGGAAGCATAATCAAATAATTAATGAATCATACAAGAGACAGTAATTTAATGTGATTCGATCAAATTAACCTATGTCGATGGATGAAAAATAAGATTACTAGTTATAAAAAATTACAAACATACATCAAATCAAATCAAACACTCATAATTAATACCATAACATTCTCAAACTCCTCAAGTTCTATAAAATATTCTCAAACTAAATAAACATATTTCATTGTATCATTTCAATACAACCAAATATATAATTATATGCACCTATATATCATATTTATATGGACCCTCTCAGTCTCTTCTAGTCCACTCACAAACTAACATAAACTTGTCCATTAAGAATCTCTTTTCTCTTAAAATTCTTTTTTTACAAGTCTTATTAATCATCAAATAATATTTAATAAATTTCAAACAAATCTTATTTGAGATTTGAGTCATTATTTTTAATATTTTCAAGGGAAAAAAATTGTGTGAACATAAGGGTATTTAGTAAGCATTTTAATAAGAAAGAATTATTTAAAAATAATGTTGTTTTGCAAGAAAAAGCAAATGGTTTGACAGCACACAAAACCAAACAAGCACACATGAGTGTGAAAATGTTTCAACTCAAAACAAACCCATAAAATATAAACAATTAATTTGTCCAGCTCATAACACAGCAAATCCAAACTTAATTACCAATTAAGACTGAATAAGAAACTAAACAAAACGACTGCAAACACCGTAAAGTTTCGAGTTTAAAATCATAATTATACACAAATTTGGACCGTATGAACTATACTTAGGCTTGGTTTGGATGCTGTTGTAGCTCCAGTGAGATAAGATTGTCGTGTAAATTTGTGCAAGTTGTCCTGATGAGATCCAAACGAATAGACAGTGCGATTTAATTTTCATCAGTTGCTCACCGGACTGTTGACATTGATTTTTTTTCTTCTTCTTTTATTGTTTTTCTTTTATCCTTTAAATTAAATCCTAAAGATAAAAATTATTCTTACAACTTAATTTTTTTATTTTATAAATTTTATTTAAAAATTGAAATAATAAATAAATAAATAAATTTTATTATATAATAAATAAAAATTATAAAATAATAAAAAATTATTTTTAACAAAACTATTATTAGATATAAAAATATTTTAATAATATTTTAATAATTTATTAATTTTATAAATATTAAATAATTTAAGTTTATTTTTATTAAATATTTTGTATTATTAGCTAACATCATTAGTCCAAATATTGACATAATAAATATTGATAAAAGAGTCTCATATGTTAAGATATTATTGTTTGTTTTTTTTATTATATCAACTTGCCATTAATAAAATTAGTACGTAAAATAAAATATTTAATGAAAATAAAAATTGAATGCTTAATCCTTATTTTTTTCATAATATCAAATCATAATTCAAAAATAAAATCACACACTGTACCATTATATCAGTAACATTAATTTTGTAAAAAATGCAGGAAGATAAGGATGTCCACGTGACATCTCTCCCTTCCTCCACTATTTTATTTTTATTATTTGTTTTATTTTATTAAATTTATTTTTTATTAATAAATTTTGTAAAAAAAAATTAATGAAGATAAGAATTATGAAACTATCCATATTTGATTGTTTTGATTACTATCGATTTAATATAAATGTGTTTTTTTTTTAAATTAAGATTAGATAAAAAAATTTTTAAATGTTTTTTCGTTTTGAGTATCCACGTGACATCTTTACTTTTTATTTTTTTACTTTTTGCTTTTTTGTTTCATTTTTTTCTTTTGCTAAATTCTTTTACTTTTATCTTTTATAAATAAATTTTGTAAAAAAAATTTTATTGAAATAAAGATAATAAAATAATATGTATTTGATAGGTCTTAATTCACCATGATCTAATTGTTATACTTTTTTTAATTCGAGATAATTGGATTTTTTTTTTTAATCAAGCTCATATTAGAACAAAATTTTAAGTATTACATCTTGACCTTAATATATATAAAATATATATTTTTATTATTTATTTAATTTTATATTTGTATATATTATTTAAAAATATTATTTAAAAGCTTAATTTAATAAAATCATATGCCATTTCATTGATTTTTTTATTATTATTTTTGTTTTTTAAAATTTTATTTATTAGATAAATTTATTAAAAAATTAATTAATATAAGAATGATAAAATACCATTATTTGATGTATTTCGATTCATCACAATCCAATTAATTTAAAAAAAAAGTTAGATTAAATTTTAATTTTTTAAATAATTTGAGTTAAGTTAGAATTGGATTTCAAAAATTCTATCGTAACTCTATTTAAAATATATAAAAGAATAAATTTTATTATTTATTTAATTTATATTTATATATATGATATCAATAAAAATATTATTTAATATTTTAATTTAATAAAAATTATATTTATATATAATTAAATTATAATTTATGTTTGAAAATAAATATATTTATATTTATCTATACGTTACCATCTACTAAAATTTAGCACAAATTTTTCTTCTCTCGTACGAAAAATATAATTTAGAAAATAAAAATTATACCACGTAAAAGGCGGCGCTCATTACAGTATAAACTAAACAAATATACCCAATGGGGGGAATCTTCAAAGTTGTCCCTTACAGGTTTTTGGAATGCACGTGGCAGAACAAGAGTGGCCAAAGATTCAAGAGAAAACAGGTAAGAACATCAAATAGACTTACCAAATTGATAATGCTTAGTTGGCAATCAAGAGATGAACAGATATTTCTGACGTGGAACAAACTAGAGTACGCGTTTAAAGTTTCAATCATTGGGCTCCCTTTCTATCTCTTTCTTTCTCCAATATTCCTCCCATTTATAAATGCGTTTGAGTGGGGAATTTTGTGGAAGAGAAAACAAAAAGCAATCTCTTGGTTTTTGTTCATATAAAGATTTGGTCTTTGGGGCTCCTTCATAGTAATCAAGAAAAGCGTCTTTGAGGTTTTTGTACGGTTCTTTAAAGAAAAAAAAAAGAAAAGTAAGAAACAAAGGAAAGGAATTGAAGGTTTCAAGGAAATGGTTTTCATGTGTGAGATTTTCTTCACAGGAGGAAAGTTGGAAGAAAGAGAGTGGGAGAAGGAGAGATAATAGAAAAAAAATAAAGAAGAAAAACACTTAATTTGCTTAAAAAGCCATAGTAGCAGAAGTAGAAAAGAGAGATTTTTAAGCAAGAACAAGATCCCAAAGTTTTATTTCATCTGCTTCTCTGCTGGTAATTCTTTTTTATACGCCTTTTTTTTAATTTTCATTTTCTTATCTGTTGTTGGTTGGTTTTGTTCTTCTTATTTGATCAATGATTGTTGATGTGGGAGTAGAAATTTATTAGGTCATGTTCTGTTTTATGCTGTCTATGTTAAACTGAAAATCAAATTGCATAATTAGTTGCATTCATATTTTTTGGTATTGTTTTTTTCTTTTAACAGGGCTATTGGCAATGTCTGCTACAATAATCAGTGATCCAATGGTGGCATCAGCACCAGCACCAGAAACTCAAACAACATCAGCAAAACTTGTTGCACAAAGTGAAGTTGAGTTTGCCAAATGCGATTGCTGTGGGCTAACCGAGGAGTGTACCCCAGCATACATCGAAAGGGTACGCGATCGATACCAAGGCAAATGGATATGTGGCCTCTGTGCTGAAGCTGTCAAAGATGAGATTCTAAGGACAGAAAGGCTTATTAGTACTGAGGAAGCAATGGCAAGGCACATGAATTTTTGCCAAAAATTTGTCTCCTCCGGACCGCCTCCTGATCCTACAGTTCATTTAATATCTGCTATGAGAAATATTCTTAGAAGAAGCCTGGATTCTCCAAGAGGTTTAAGATCAACCCCAACTAGTCCTACAAGAAAGGTTGGTGAAATACGGGGTTCAGGGCTTACTCGGTCCGAAAGTTGTTTCCCTACCCTGTCTGGTTGATAGAGACAAATGGAAAGGAAATTAATAGAATGGAAGTGAATATTGTTGGGAATTCGATTTGATATGCTGCAAATGAAAAGAATAGAGCTTATGGGTGTTTGGTCATAAAAGACTTGGGCTCGAATTCTTCCTTCTTCATGATTGTATCATTGATTAAAAGGAAAGAACTAAAAATGAAGTAAAAAATGAAAAAAGAAAAAGAAATTGATGTTTAAGTTTAGACATAGAAGCTTATGTAGATTTTAATGTCAAATATAGAACTCCTTTGTTGTTAGAAATCTAATTCTTCTTGCAGAAAAATTACAGTTCTTTACCACTCCTTGAATCTGCTTTCTTATACCAAGGCAACAAACTTTACATTATGTTTGGACAAGTTTTTTACCAAATAGTTTGCATTTGAACTTGAAGAAGCATTCTACAATTGAATTTGAACTTTTTTCAACCAAATCGAAACATATTTTAAATGGAAAACTTGTTACCAGTTGTGAGATTTTGCAAACGTGGGTTATGAACTTGGTCCTTTTTTTTCTTTTTCTGGTGATCCTGGTTTTTGGAAATTGAACACAAAGTTATGTTGGTCAAAACCAAAAATTTAATGATATTCATGTTTAATACTAGTATTCAAAAGGGAAAAGCTTTGTTTAAATTCATATTTTTCCAACTTAATTGTTAAAAAAAATCCCCTATCTAAGTAAAATAATACTCAGCTATTTAATTAAAGAATTTACAGAATCTCAAATCTAGGATTCTGTCAACAAGAGATTAAAAAATTTTTGGATATCTGGTTTTGGGATTTGCATGATTGGATCAAAGAATATATAGTTCCAAAGTTGAGACGTACATAAATCTAAGAGTAAAATGGAATTATTCAAATAGTTGATTTCATAGATTCTATTTATGCAGAGATGCCATTAATGGAATAATGTTCTTTTGAGATACTCCAAATACCTAAATCAAGGAAGTGCACATGATGAGCTTAAATCTGTCTAAAATCACTCTACATCCAAACATGAAAAAATTGGATTGAATGACAATTTCAAAAGTTTTAGCTTGAATGGCATGGTTAACTCTTATTTGGTGCATTCCACTTCCAGGGATTTCTTTTTCAAGAGGGTAGAGCAGAATTCAGAGCTTCAATTTTTTTATTCATTCCACTTGTATGCCAATGATATGACTTGATTCGAAGCTTTAAAAAATCCTTTTATGAAAAGGGATGAAGTATAATCATGGCGGATGATAAAGTGGAAACCTATGTTGAAGGGAGCATGAATTGGGAAAAGTATGATTGGATGGCTAATGGCTAGAACTGGTTAACCAATAGCAGTATAATAGTATGATTGTATTACTATTTAGACAGCGACTTCACCCTACATGAGCCATAGAAGTGCAATATTTGTACTGGACGGTGACTGGACTCTTGTAGCAGAAGCTGAGATTCCTAAAAAAAATTAGCAAACAGTGGTAACCAAAAAAAAGGTTAAAAAGCCTGCCAAGAAACATGAGAACAACCAAGACAAAAGCTTTCAATAAGATTGAAGATCGATTCATAGTACCAGTTGTGGACAGCTCTGCTCTGCTGCTCTTGTAACCCTTGGAAGAATGAAGTTTCTGGAAATGGATTCAGTGCATGGTTGCTAAGTGAACTAACAAGATGTCCGAACAAAACACAAGAAGTGGGGTCTAGGATTCTGATTGGGTCCATCAATGACAGATCATCTGACTCAGATATGGACCCCACCAAACCTGTTTATTTTGATCAAAACAAAACTTAAAATTATTGCTTTGTCTTATTGATAAAACAAAATGGTAGAAATGGTTGCAAAGGAGATTAGGTAGCCCAATTATGTCATACATTTTTTTGTGCATATACATTTCACTCTCCTAAAGGAAAAAGTTAGGTGTTTGCAAGGTATGATATTGATTTTGGAAAAGAAGAATTGTTGGAATGGTATCCAACAGCAGTGAAAAAAAAATACTACTAGGTTTCTTCTAAAAAATCTAATTGTCTTTGTCATTGTTTTCAAAATAAATTACCTTTGGCATTTTTATGTTCCCATCGTATAAAAAAAATACCCTATTTTCCTAAATTCTTCTGCCCAAAAAATGTTAAATCAATCCAATCAAGGAAATTAATGCATAGAACACTAATTGTTATTCATTATATGACTTTGGACCCTCCATTCATCTGATAATAATTGATCAAATATAAAGCTTCTTGATAATTTCACATTTTATGAGATGAAAGATCCTAAACTTGAGTATTTTCTCTCCAATTAAGTTGATAATCTTCTTCCTTTCAGAAAAAAAAAAGTTAATAATCTTCTTAGTTTATTTTTAATTCGGTGAATAAGAGTTAATTATATTTTACTGAAGACCAAATTTACCCACTCTATCCAAAATTACCTTATTGTTCAAGGATGGAAAACGAATATCCTTACGAGGCACCAGCTAGCCTGAGAGACAATAAAATAACAAAAAATTGACTATCAATGTCTTTAAATTGCTGTGATTAGTTAGTTTCTTGATATAAACGTCGTCTAAATCCTCCAAATAGTCAACTATATTATTTTTAAGAGTTAATTATAGATTTGATATTCAAACTATGATTAAATATATAAATTGATACCAAAATAAAAATAAAAATTTCATTTTTATTTTCAAAATATATATTGTTAGTTGTAATCTTGACGTGTTAAGATTAAAATTAACATAAGACATATTTTGAAAATTCGGAATGTAAATTATATATTTTTATTTAGATATCAATTTATATATTTAATCAAAGTTGATGTACAAAATATGTAAATACCTCTTAATCCTCCGATCTTCCTTAAGTAGTTATTCATTTAATCTTCAGTTTATATTATGTTATTTTTTTTATTACTCCTAATGTATTTTATGGATAAGAAGGGAACATGAATTTGTTTCTTTTTGTCTTTCTTTCTACCTTTATTTTTCAACAATATGAGTTTCTTCTATCCCAATGATTCGAATCCAAGTTGGATATGACTTTAACTTTTAAATAAAAAAAAAAATTAGGTGGTGACTCTTGTATTAAAAAGCGTAGGCTAAAATTTTCTCTATCATTGCATTCTTTTTTAATCTATAACCATAATATTTAAATAAATTTTGATTTAAATATTTCAATTAAATAAATTTGATATTAAAAAAAAAAGATTATGATTCTATGGATCAGAGCTCTTGCAATTGTTTTAACTCTAACTGCTCATCATGTATGGCAAGTGAAGATGCAAATGAACGGAGTCAGGGCAGATTTTTTGCTCAATTTAAACTTGGCCCAACTTTAGTTTTTTTTTTTTTTTTAAATTCAATTTCTCAGAGGCCTTAACATACTGCCAAATGCACAACAATGAATATAGTTTTGTTTTGCTCTGAACAGCCGCATTTGATCCATCCGATAAACACCCACTTAGTTATCAATCAATGTCATTTCCATTACACTATAATTTCTCTTATACCTACCTACAAAACGAGAAAAGAGCAGAGATTAAAACCTAAAATTTCTACTTTCCATCAGGTTTCTCTGTTAATGATGTAATGTTATATCTGTCCGCATTGGCTGTTAGTACCTTAATCATATAAGGTAGATAATTGCATTTGACAATATGCAATGTCAAATGAAAGAAAAAAAAAAGAAGCAAATTCAATACCGTTCTTTGATAATAAGAATTATTACAGTAGACAGACTAGACCTGCAGTTTTTTTCAAGTTTGCTTTAAACATGGATTTCTTCAGTGCAAGGCATAGGAACATTGTGCCTTTCTTTTTTAAAATTCTATATGTTATTATTTAAGTTTTTAGGCAACAAATTTTGTGAACCAAAGCCCAGTCTAAAGCACAAAAGATCTCGGGGCTATCAACGATGCAAACGAACAAGGCCGGTAGTGTTGATTTTGCAGGACATGTAAAACTGGGTTCCTTAGGCCGACCCTGCGTGTGAGAAAATGAAACATAAGAAAAGTAACAAGAAAAGAAATTAAATGACTAGTGAAAATGGTTAACATATGCTTAACCATGTCGCATTCCTAGCCGAAATTGATTCCTTGTGCCAGAGGTAACTCGTTCCCGTAATTTATTGTGCTGCCAAAAAATATTAATGGAAGAATATGTTGAAACAACCACTGGCCCCACTTTTGAAGATAAGCAAAATGCTGAACTAATCTTTCTCTATGGCAACTATTGAACATAGCATTGAAAAGGATGTAAAAAAGAGGTAATGGAATTCATAAACAGGTTTACCAGGTTGAGCGTCGCATATACTGTTTCCAAGAGTCACTTCCAGCTTCACGGCCTCCTCCTGTAGCCTTTTCACCACCAAAAGCACCACCTATTTCAGCTCCATTGGTTGGTATGTTCACATTAACAATGCCACAGTCACTTCCTTGAGGCCTGCATATGAAATTAAGTAAGAAGCAATTAAATTACAATTCCATAAAAAATATCAATAATTTATTGATTAACGAGACACCTGGTAGAGAGACTTGCCCAATCCATTTGAAGATAACTTCAGGTTTACGAGTGAAGACAGAACTGCTTAATCCTTGAGGAACAGAGTTGTTTATTTCAATTGCTTCTTTCAAAGTCTGTACAATTAGTTAAGGTTTCAGAAAGCAGCTCTTTGCATAACATTAAAACATGAAAGAATTTGTTTAAGGTGTCTCCAATGAACAATTGTAGCCACCGTCTACCTAGACCAAAATAGGAAATTTTGGAAGAAGAGGTTACATTAAATTTCATGACATAAAGAACTGGTGCAAACAACTCTTCTTTAACAACGTCAGCATTTGGAGAAATCTCGACAATTGTAGGCTGCACAAAGTTCCCCTCAGACTCTATCAGTCTGCCACCAGTAAGAATTTTCCCTCCCTGGAAAAACATCACAAGATAGAATAAGGTCAGGAACCACAGCCAAAATACAAAACAACTGAAATTCTGACCAAATGAGCTTCCAGTTGCATCAAACAAGGCGTACATGAAGTCAACACATAAAGCTTGATGCTGCAATGTAGAGAGTTTCAAGACTATCACCTAACAATGTTGAAAGCTGAGATCTTATTACGAACAATTGAAAGCTAAAGATAGTTATTCATGCACAATGTAAGATTATAAATACAAGTTCTTTGCTTTAACACTCTGACATGCCTTTATGAACATTTCATGCAAGTCCATGACACCCACAAAAGTTATGGTGGAAGATTGTGCTAATGAATTCATCAAAAATCAGTCCCAAGCTTTAAGTTGTATTTTATTGCACTAACACCCAAAAATTATTCTATAGTAGATAAGAGAAACCTTAGATGTGGGTTGAACGTTGTGTAAGAGTGAAAAATAAATAAATTAAGAACACACCTGTGACTTGATTATTTCTATTCCTTTCTCAAAGTTCTTCCTTGAAGAAGAAGTATGCAGTGGCCCAAGTAAGGTACCCTTTTCTAATGGATCCCCTATTTTAATTTGTTTGTACACACCAAGTAGCTGGCCAAGTACCGTCTGATATATACTTTCATGAAGAAGCTTCAATACAAGCAAACAGAAAACTCAGCAGAAAAATCATTGGCAGCTGTCGATACTCAATATATATCAAAATTAAGAAGATTCACATAATTAAAAAAATACCAGTCTACGGCATGTGGTACAGCGCTGACCAGCAGTACCAACAGCAGCAAATAGAACAGAACGAACAGCTAACTGTACATCGGCATCATCCATGACAATTATAGCATTGTTTCCACTTAGTTCAAGCAAGCATTTACCAAATCTCTCATTCACTGTTTGTTGCACCTTTAAACCCACCTGCAGTTAGAATGTGCAGTATAATTAAAATCTTGGTGTATTACAAGTATTCATGTATCTAATAGATATCGAGAAAAAAGTTCTTGCTAATTGATATGCAGAAATATCAAATTTGAAATGTTTCTTCAACAATTAGTAAGCTGGTGTTCTTTTTTTTTTTTTTCAACAAGAACATACAATATCCTATCCTGTCATTCCAAATACAAAATAGGCACAAGATAGAAGTACCTTCGAACTCCCAGTGAATGAAACTAGATGAATGCGTCTATCTTTTGCTATTGCTTCCCCAATGTCAGCACCACCACAAAATGATGTGAAAATTGCACCTGGTAAGTTATTCTTTTCCAAAACTCCAGCCACTAGCTTTGTCATTGCTATGGTGACCAAAGGAGTGGTTGGAGCACCTTTCCTATAATTCATACCAGTTTTCAAGCATAAAGGTTGTACGTTAATGTATGGAAGAGAACCCAAATCTGTTTAAAGCAAATTACGCTAACTAAAGAAGAGATGAATTATTAAGTAGAAATATTTTTAAGCAAACAGATTATGCAATTGGATTGTATTTCTTAAACTATAAACTGCTGATCACCATGGCTAACGCATCAATATAAGATGTGGAAAAAGCAAAGAGTTTTTGTGATCTTCCAGAAGTGTGATTATCTCATTATAGCACTACAGAATTGAACCAATTTATAGTTCAAGAAAAGGAATGAAGTACGTGCTAATGGTCCTTAATGTGAAATACAACAGTAGAGTTTACTATGGCATGCATTGTTGTCAGAACCAGACAGGACCAGCCGTCAAACCTGGAACCTGAGGTCAATCCAGTTCTTAAAAATTGGAATCAACCATATGTTCATTGAACCGGTTAAACCAAGTTAGACCAGACCAGATTAACAGGATTCGACTGGGTTTTGAAAATTTTTATTATTTAAATGAATTAACTGGATTTGACTGAACATCCAACCGGTTCAACCTCAGGTCTGGTTATTAAAACATTGGTGGCATGATGATAAAGTTCCATCAAAGGGAATCAAGGATATAAACACCATAAATAAATACCAAAAGTAATTTCAATAATGCAATAAATAGCCAAGGATTTACCACCAACAAAAAAAAAGGTATAGTACTTGATAAACATGATTCTACTAGTTAATATAACTGGAGTTTACAATTAATTAGAAAAGACATAATAGACCCACTAACAATTTTATCAACTGAATGGTTTAAATATTCCCCAAAAATGTGAAAAATAATAATCGTAGAAAGCATTGACATCAAGCCTTACCAAACAATGCAGTTTCCACACACCAGCGCAATGCAGGCATTCCATCCTACACAATATGGGAATTATAAATAGAACAGCTATCACAATAACAACAGCAAATTCAGTTAATAATTTGATTCCTAGCTCTACTGTGAAAACCATTATAAGAAGAAACCAATTATCTTCAACATTGATCCATAGATATAAATCCAATTCAATAAAAACCCAGAAGCAACAATGTTAAGCAAGAAAAAAAAATTCAGAGTTATTCTAGTATCAGTTGTCTCACAAAAGTTTAAGCTTCTCAGCAGCAAAAATGCCAAGTTTATAAATAAAGGAAATGCAGCTTACCAAGAACAGCACATGGGAAGTTGAATGCCGTAATTACACCAACTATTCCAAGAGGATTCCACATCTGTTCTCAGAATACATGAGCATAATGTCAACCTTCTTCTCGGACTTCATCTATGAGTCCAAGTTAAAAATGTTTAAACAAGTAGCTCACCTCCAACATAATGTGATTTGGACCTGTTAACAACAGAACCAATCATCTTTGGATGAATTTCTACCATATAGAGTATCATACATATCTACATACATATTATACTGTACCAAATAGTACAATATCATCGCATGTTATACTATATTTAAAATAAAACCCAAACTGATGACAGTTACTAATAATAAGGAAATGCCAACTGCAACAAACATGAAAATTTCAACATTCCAGCAAAAATTTAGCACTTTAGTTCATCAAAAGTTCATAAAACAGAATTGGAGCCATGCAGAAATCAACCACAAGAAGATGTATAAACTAGTGACGACTAATGAACTTATGCACTTACGTTCTGAAGGTATTATTGATCCATTCAATTGCCGGCTTAGCCCCACAGCAAAGTCACACATGTCAATTATTTCCTGCAAGATTAACATTTTACAGTTATAAAGATATAGAAACTACATATATAGCTAGTATAATTGTCATGGATTATTACAGATTTGGAGAATGAACCAGTAAAACAACAGAATTATCCACTCAATAAAGAACAATTATATGAATATTATATCATGATAGCTAATGTGGGATAGAATGAGATTAACAAAGAAAAAACATAAGATGTGCCCTGACAATCTTCCACCCATGATTGGATAACACTTATACACCTTAGTACATTACAGCGTTGCTGCCATCAAAAGAATCCTTGCAAAAATTTCATGATCTCCACAAATAGTGCAAATGACAAAAGAAAAAGAAAAGGACTTGCTGTAAAAGAGAAAATATCTTAAAGTAAATAGTACTGTTACACAATTTGGTGAATTCAAACCATGAACCATGAAAACCTTAAATTTAGAAGCAAGGTCTTGTTGATGCATTGCTTTGATTATAAATAAATTTTCTTTTAACAGACTAATCTAGTACATTTTCCCTAGAAAATATAAATTGACAGATGCCCATTACCAAGTACCTCTTGATTCATGTGAAGATTGAAGAAAATATTTATACTAACTCGAGCAAATAATAAATGACTTGAGAATTCACAACCGCTAACAAATTGTTCAATATGGGCCATCTTATAACATATTAAATGCAAAGAATCAATTTAACAGTTGCAAAACTGCATAACATACTTGAACTTCCCCAATTCCTTCAGGAAGAATTTTTCCCATCTCAAGTGAGACAAGGCGGCCAAGTTGCTGTAGTTTGGTTCTTAATGCATCACCTATTTGTCGAACTATGTCACCTCTCTTAGGGGCTGGAACCTGAAAAAATATATCAAGTATAAAAGGTTCAGAAAAGTAAAAATGCCATAAATAAATGTAAAATTTCCAGCCTTGATTATAAAGATTAGATTACGGTATATGTTCATCTTACTTGCATCCAAATCTTTGCTGCTTCGTTGCAAGCTTGCATCCCTTCCTCATAATCTTGGATGGAAGCCTCGGTAACATCGGCAATTTTCTGCATGAACAACACAGAAATAATAGTAACTTTAGAAGATGGAAGGAAGTAATGATTTCCAAATGCTTGCATCAAGTGGTTTTCATACTCCGCAACTAGCAATTATTGTAATATAACTCCATTATTTGAAAATGCACAAGCAAAAATAAGAGAAAACCTGCAACATAAAAGTAAAAGATAAAATCTTCAATTTCCCAGAAGTAATGCTATTCAAGGCAGTAAGATTGAGAGGGTTATTCTCAAAGAAATTGAAACAATGTATCTGCCACTCTGTAAAGCGCAAGGAACGCAAGGTCTTAACGTTTTCTGTTCTTCGTTTTAATAAGGATACCATAAGATTCATTATTTTATTTTTGCTAAAGAAAGGGACTGTTCCATCAATCATGATCACTGTCCCCACAATTATTAATAATAAAACCATATACCATGATCAATAAACATATCCATAGAATAAGAACCTGATTATTAGCAGGATTCACAGTAGAAATAACAGGGCCACTTCCTTTCCAGGTGCCATTCACAAAACATCCCAAATTGCTAGAACTCAACCCGATCTCACTCAAGAATTCGTACTCTTTCCTTGAAAAACCCATCTCTGCATTTACACGCACAAAAAAAGAAAAAAATTAATTTAAAATCCAAACAAAAGATATCCCAAAAAACTCAAAAAACAAAGTGCAAAAACAAGACTTTCAGACACCCTTTTGATAATCGATCATGAATTTGGTCTCTTTTACCTTGCTTTCTCAGAGTTTTTCTTGGGTACCAAACAGAAGAGAGAGAGTCTGAAATCCTGAACTTTAGAAGAAGAGTGGGAAAGAATTCTTACTTTTTTTTTCTTTTGCAGTGAATGAGTCGTTGTTGACGTGGAGTGAAGAGAGAGACGGATGGCTTAAGTAAAGGAGCAAAGGACAGAGTCTAAGACAGGTTGTGGTGCATGATTGGAAAAGATAAAGTGAACGGAGGCGTGAAGTGATGGGCTAATCCTAAGATTAGATTGAATACTGATTTCTGCCCATTATTATCATTATTATTATTATTATTGCTGGCTGGATCAAGTAGCAATGTCCTCCATTTTCTCATGATCTGCTCATCCCATCTAATTATTTTATTTACTTTTTTGGGGGGCTGTTAAATCATATTACATTATGAGAGTTTTCAATTGCCTTCTTTGGTATAAGAATTATTTGATTGATTAGCTAACTTTCTTAAGTCCTTGCTTTTTTTGGTTCTTTTCAATATTCACAAGGGAGGTGAACAAATTAATGAGTTAATATTAATGATTTTTAAATTATAATAAATATTTAATTTAATATTTAAAATTTTAAAAATTTTAATATGATATTTAAATTATAAATTAATTATTAAAATGATATTTATTTTTATTGTGATTAATTTTAAATAATAATATATAATGAATAAATATTTTTTTAATATTATATTAAATAATGCTTTGAAATAAAAATCATGTTTTGAAAGAGGGTGTAATTATTGTTTTCAAGGTGAGATGATGTATATATCCTTTGATTTATATTGGTATTATTATATTTGATTTTTATTAAATTTTTAATTGAAATGATGTCCTTTAATACAATTCAATAAGAGATTTTAATAATAATATAAATAAATAATGACAGCAAAATGGAAAAAAAAAAGGTAGAATTTAGAGTTCATGTTAAATTTTTTATGAAGGGTTTAATTTAATTTTTTTCTAAAGAAAAATTTTGAATTGAAGTGAAATAACAACACTTTTGTAAGTGTTTTATTTTATTTATAGATGGTTTACTTAATCTAAGCTAAATAACGAACAAAAACGCACGTGCATCCATTTTCGGGCTTAGATCCGTTTAAAAAAAAAAAAAAAAAGGGAAAAATCCAAAATCTTTAGAAATTGCCAGCCCATTTCCTTCCTTCTTTTTCGAACTTCTTCGTTCGAAAAAGAAGCCCCAAAAAAGCCATCAAATTTCATCTCTCTTTAAATCTTCAAACCCTAATCTTCGTTTTCCCTCGAAAATCATTAATTTTTCTGGTTTGGTCATCGGTAAGTATTCAAATTCCCTATTCAATTTCTCGTCTGAATTCAAGGCTGGGGTTTCCTAGCTCCTTAGCTGAAAACCCTAAGTGTAATTTCTCTTTCTAGGAAATCTTTGAAAAGCTTGATGTTTTAATTTAGATAAGGAGATTATCAATGAGGAATACTTGTCTTTATAATTCAAAAAATCCCAAATTTCATGGGATTTTCAATGGATTATCTGCTTTGATTCTATTTTTCTTTTTCTACACCCGGCTAGATTTCTTAAGAAACCCTCATATTGGCCAATCGTCTCGGCTTATTAACCATTATTCGAATAAAGGAAGTGATTATGCTGGTGGGTTTGATCATGTCAGTGCTATTCGTCGAAAAATTAGTGAACTTGATGCTAATTCATCAAATTTAGCTGTTAGGAATGGTCAACAGAATGAGTTGAATGTAAGCTTGAGCAACCCTTCTTTGTGTTCTGGATTGCTTGATCATAAGGGTTTTGCTAATCAATGTGAGTTCTTGAAAGCGAATCCGCAATGTTCTTCGGATGGATTCTTTGATTACATTAAGTTTTTCTATTGTGGTTGTGGAGAATTTAGGTTCGTGGGCTATTTGATGTTGGGCTTTTGGCTTGCTGCTTTGTTTTATCTATTGGGTAACACTGCAGCGGATTACTTTTGCTGTTCATTGGAGAAGCTTTCTTATCTGCTTAGGTTGCCTCCAACTGTTGCTGGGGTTGCACTCCTTCCGTTGGGAAATGGGGCGCCGGATGTGTTTGCAAGTATTGCTGCGTTTTTGGGGACGGATACGGGTGGAGTGGGTCTTAATAGCGTGTTGGGTGGTGCGGTTTTTGTTTCATGTGTTGTTGTAGGGACTGTCTCCCTTTGTGTAGCGGAGAAGGGGATCCAGATTGATAAAAGATGCTTCATTAGAGATATCTGTTTCTTCCTCTTTACACTCATGTCACTTACAATGATATTGGTAATTGGTAAGGTGAGTGTTGGGGGTGCCATTGCATTTGTCATGATATATGTGATTTATGCATTTTCTGTGGCTGCAAATGAGATTTTGGGGAAACATGCACGGAGCTTGAAATTCGATGTTGTTACACCTTTGCTTCCTGTCCGAGGAAGTCTGTTTTCACAAGGAAGTGAAGAGGACATTTCTATAAGTAGTTCTCTTCTTGATGTGGACACTGAAAATGATCCACCCCAGCTCCCTAGTTCCCTGCCACAGTGGATGTGGGCTTCAAATGTTGCTATATATTCAAATCACTTCATGAAGTTCAGTCCATTAGATGAAGAGAGGCCTCCATGGGGTTGGACCGAAGAGGGCATGGAAACTAATGACTCATCATTCTCATGTTCTAAATTAATATCGCTCCTGGAGTTGCCACTGACAGTTCCAAGGCGGCTAACAATTCCTTTAGTTGAGCAGGAATCATGGTCAAAACCATATGCTGTAGGTAGTGTTTTATTGGCTCCTATTCTATTGGCATTTCTGTGGAATAGCCAAGGTGATGTGGGCTCCCAGGGCCGTGTGCTTTCATGGTTTATTGGTGTTGCAGTTGGTTGCACTCTTGGTATTCTTGCATATAAGCATACTGAATCTGATCATCCGCCTCGGAAGTTTTTAATTCCTTGGGTATTAGGGGGATTTTTGATGAGCATTGTCTGGTTTTATATGATTGCTAATGAGCTTGTGGCACTGTTGGTAGCATTTGGTGTGATTTTTGGAATTAATCCATCCATTCTTGGAGTAACTATTCTGGCGTGGGGCAATTCAATGGGTGATTTGGTGTCAAATGTTGCACTAGCAATGAATGGTGGTGACAGTGTGCAGATTGCCTTGTCTGGCTGCTATGCGGGTCCCATGTTCAACACACTTGTTGGCTTGGGTATCTCAATGCTGCTCGGAGCTTGGTCAAAGAGTCCTTCCTCATACTTGGTTCCACAGGATGGCAGCTTGTTTTATACCATGGGGTTTCTCATGTCAGGACTAGTCTGGGCACTTATAGTTTTGCCTCGGAATGACATGCAGCCTAGCAAGATATTAGGAGTGGGTCTTATAATGCTCTATCTAATATTTCTTTCTTTCAGGGTGAGCAGTGCCATGGGACTTCTATCACTGGGTGGTTTAAGGTGATTTTTGTTTTGGTTGTAATTAGACAGACCAGGTATAGCAACATGTTACAAAAGAGCGGTCAAGTTATCATTTTCCAACAGCCATTGACTATCAGGTTTTTATGGCAGAGAAAGCCATTGTTGTTTCTCCTTACACAATGTAAGCTTACAGATGTAACCTCAACTGACTCCGTTGTGGGCTTCCAGTATTTGTTGGAAAAATCTGTCAAACTACTTCATCTGTAAATTCTACCGCCATTGATATACTGGGAACATGTCTCATACTTTTGTTTAATCATTTAGTATCCCTTAAGCTTTGGACTTGATTGTCCCTGGGCACCCCCTTATATATAGTGGTTGTTAATTTTGCATCAGGTTACAGCCAAGCGTCTACAAATTTCTCAGCTGCATATGACTCGTGCATCCCTTATCTGACAGGAACCTGTTCTTACTTAATCTTTCCAGTAGTAAGGTATCTGACAGCTTATTCAGTTTGGCTAAATTCATTTTAACAACAATTTTTTGCCTTGATGGCTATTTATCGTTTGGTAAGAGTGATGCTGGTTTTCCTACATCTGGTTTTATCATATTCCTAAGCCCATATATGATTGATAAAGGAAATGAATACATCGACTTTATACGGCACCTCCCCTTTTTTATTTTAAAAAGGCAATGTGACATTAATCGCGCACGTTTGTTTGTATGGGCCAACTGATAGAGCTTTGCGCTCCGATTCACACTTCACTAAAAGAAAGGCATTAAACAATCCAAGTTTAATCCAACGTCTTCTGATTCTGTTTGTCTTTTTGCGAACTTCGATGAAACCCTGCTCTCTTTCTTTGTCCTTCCATGCTTTTACTCTCTGATCTTTCCCTCTACATTTTACTCTCCCCCTCTGCTAAAGGTTTTCCTTACGAAAGAAAAAAAAGAAAAGAAGTTGGTAAGAAAATATCAAAATCTTGAATTGAGATAAAAACCCTTCTTACAACTTAATACTATTAGCATCTCTAACAACGAAGGGAAGGGGCTATTTTGTACGAATATAAATAAACGAAAAACTAACAGTAGTAGTAGAATCATTCATTTTCCTCGATCATACGTGACAGTCACGTGTGCTCTGCAATCTTGTCAGTTCAGCATCTGCGTTTCTCTGCAAACACTCAGTCCCAGAAGCCAACGTTTCAGCGCTTTCAGTATTTCTGACTCCAAAACTCCAAACCTATCAACTCTTAACTAAGCGACTTTTATATGCTTAACACACTCTTTTTTTTTTTTTTCTTTTTTCTTTGAATGGTTTTATCATCCTCTGAACTTTCACGTACCCAACAACATTAATGTTACTATGTTAGTAACATAAAGCAGAAACTCTCTTAAATGGTTCAGAAGGAAAAATAACATTACCATTGCTTTGCAAGGGTGTAGTTTAGGTGATTTCTTGACGGATGGTTCAAGTGAGTCTTCATTTGGACCGCCACCAGTGAGGCCAAGGTCTCCACCAGGAAGCCTAGATTTGTATGGGAAGCGGACGCAGATGTTTAAGGTTCAGGCTTTGGAGAGAGAGATTGGTTTGCTTCAGGTTCCTGCATTTTCTGTTTCTTCTGACTGCTTACATTTGGTTGGTTAATTACATAACTTGAAGAGTTTATAGTAAAAAATTTAAAAAGGGTCTTTTTTGATAAATGTTCTCAATGCTGCACCATTTGTTCTTTTGGAAATGTAGAACCTTTTTTCAATGTGGAATCTTGAACGCTATTTCCACCTAAATTTAATGACAATTGACAGTACTAATTACGACCGATGGCTTGAATTTCATCTAAGCAAATAAAGGAATTCCGTTATGTACTTCTTTTACAATTTCTTAGTTCCTCTGCTCTCATGACCAGAGGAGTTAAATTCTTCCTTTAAGTAAAATGAAATTCAACTCTTAGCCACATGGGAAAATTTTTCTGTTGAAATGAATGTTCAGTGAATGAGTCAGAACCAGTGAGTCCATAGCTCAAACAAGTAGCTAGTGCTAGATTTGCTTCGTTTTTTAGGTCTGTCAGCACTTTGATATGCAAACATTTTGGAAAGGAAATTGTGTCAAGAATCAATTGGGAGTTTATTTATCTCGATTTGCATGTTGTGCCAGGCTTGCAATGAAAGACAAATTGACGAAATCCATTTATATCATTTTGTTTGTTAAATACTAGATGTTCCATTTGTTTCATTCATTCACAGGTTTGCAATCAAGATAAATTGAGAGTTTTAGATATTGATGACCTGTATTTTGCATATTTTGGAAGAGCATACAATGAGACACTTTCCATTTCTTCCATAGAAATTTTTTGTAAACAGTAATAGGATGTAATGGTGTTGTATCCCTTGTTGCACTGTCTTTGAATAATAGAAGACAGAAACAGGGCTTTTTAGTATGCTTGTCTTCAAAAATGAAAGATTTATGAAGGCTATTCTTTCGATTGTAGATTTGTTGTGCGGTACCTTGAAAAAGTAGAACCAAATTTAGTTACAAAGAGATTAATGTAAATCCGACGAGCTACTTTTGTACTTCCATGCACTCAGGAAGAATTAAAATCTGTTGAAGGCCTTCAACCTGCTTCTAGATACTGCAAAGAGTATGTTCAAATTCCTTATCTTTTAAATGGTACTACATAATTATTCAGATCCTACAGTATGCTTTATTTTTCTGTCCATTCTTAAGGCTCCGTTTGTTTGGTGCCTTCATTTTTTGGTTTTTGCTTTTTTCAACAGAAATTGAAAAAAAAAAAAAAAAACTGAAAACAAGGGATAAATATCAAAAAGCAAAAGTACCCCCTAGTATGCAAGTATACTCTATTGTTTTGGGATCACATTTGACAGTGAACTATCTACCAATTGACAGGGTTGATGACTTTGTTGGGGCTAAACAAGATCCTTTAGTAACTAAGTACATACCTTGAAACTATCTTCATTTCTTTTTCTTTAACTCCAATCTTGCTAACTGAAATCGTCCGTTTCCTTTACCAGAACTCAGAAAATCCAGAAATCCCAATCCTTCTGGAAGCACCTATGGTACTTTTTTCTTGCTCGTGCACGCTTTAGTATATAAAACAGTCCTCTTCTATGCTTCAGTTTAACTATGGTAAAATTTGCTTCTGTGGTAAAGGAAAAGAGTAATTCAAAGGATGTAAACTCTAAAGTTGTTTATGATACAGGAACTAACATAAGAGAAATATACATAAAATGAATGGATTCTCACTTTCTCCGTGTTAATTATATTGATATGCTGTGTTTAAGTGATTTGACATATATTATACAAAAGGCTTTCTCAAAGTGACCTTTGAATGGGCACTTTTCTTGTAGTGTTCAAGACAACTGTCTAAAGTTTTATGCACTAATCTTGAGCAGGGAATGGAGTTGTATTTTCCCTTGGGTCTGCTGCTATTTTAGTTGCACGTTTCACTTAAAGATGCCAAGCAGTTTCACTTGCTATACTTCATGCAAGTCCGAATGCCTCCCGTGTAACTGCTTCTTGGAGAATACTACTTGTCTCAAGTGTTAGAATTGTGAGGGACATTCATGCCCCACTTCCGCTTGCTGCTGTTTTGGGCCATTCTTCGATAAATGTTAGAAGGTAAATTCTTGGAGTGGTTGTAGAAAAGCCAGTTATAGCTCTTGTTGTCAATAAACATCCGTATATATCCTTATTTTACTGCAACCCTGTTGTTATCTCATTATAATTTAGTGCAGCTATTACCATTCCAAGCCCTGTTTTGGAAGAAAATTTTCTGACAGAACTTTGATGAAATACCTTGTATTGATTACATTTCAGATATGTTAGACCAAATTTACTGTCTGATATATCATATATGATTGAAGTTTGATGTTGGTCATTGAATAAAGGCACATGTAATGAAACTGTATTAGCTGAGGACTTGTTGCAGGAATCTCTATTGCCAGATATTAGTACTCCAAAAAGGTAATTATCCACAAATTCCTTCTCTTCCCTCCCTATGTTCCCATTTTCTTGAGCTGGTTCATGTTTTATGTTCCAACTGCCTTTCCTTTCACTTCACAAACCAGTCAAACGGTTCTACAAGGCAAAAGGCAAGATTGTACATCAACTAGAGCTTTTGAGTGAATATATTTACTGATGTACTGGTAGCTCTTCCTCATAGCTATCCATTGTTCAGAAAATGGGCTATTAATTATTACGAGTACATATACAATCTTGAACAATAGAATGAAGTTGACCATCTCTCGTTCCATAAACTCCCATCTTTCCTTTTCCTCTAATTTATAGAAAATTATGCTTAATAAGATCTTATCAATCAAACCAGAGGTGCAAGAAGAGACGTGTATAAATCACTGATGTCATATCAATTTCGTTCTTGAATCTCCCCCACCTCCCACACTTCCTTTTATCTTTTTTGGTTATAGTTGGCCGTTTATCTTGTTGGACAGATGTTCATAAACCATTGCACTGTCAGAACTGAAATTAACAAACATCAGCATGTGTTTGATACTTGGTAGAGAGCTATTCTCTGGGTTTTTGACTAACCATTAAGTTATCATAGTTTTAGATCTAACCAACCATCTTGGTGAGAGAGATATGCTTGGCAGAAATTTCTCAATGATCTATCGGTCTTTAAAACATCAAAATGAGGGTTACTAATCGCCTGCTTGGTATGCAAAACGCATACTCAAGTTTGAATATTCCCTCTATTTATAGTTCACTCGATCTTGTCTTGTACTGAAGCTGCCAATAAGCTGTTTTTTTATTCAAAGAAAGAGTTTCGAACCTGTGACTATAGATTGGCCAAAAAAACAAATGTCATTACAGCGACTGTAGAAAAGATCTTTGCGTGATCATAGCCCTGCAACTTTCTTTGTCCACTTGTCAATAAAAATTATCAATCGAACTTGTATAAATAAATTGGACCCACATAAACATCAGCTAAGCCCACCGAACCTTCGTTCCCTCATAAAAGATACTAATGAAAGTCATGAATGGGAACCTATCATGGCCTATCTCAACAAAATAATCCCTTATCTTTAAAAAAAAAAAAAATTAGGTTTTGGACCCACAATATAGGAGCCGATCATTGGTCCAAAGAATCCAAGTCTTCCAAGAAACACTAGAAATTAAAAAAATTTAAATCATTGATTAGATTGATTAACCTAAAGTGATACTAACAGCTACATATGTTCAGACATATAAATTTAAGGTAGTGAACAGCTAATTATATGATCAAGGGCTCGGCTCCATTGATATCAAGTTCATCTGCTAAATGATTTTAAGGTCGATTCTTATCCATGATTGTTTGATATTAATTTCGAATGCATAAACTCATCCAATAAAGGGTTATCTTGCTTTTGGTTTTTATTTTTAGAAAAAAAAAAAAGAAAGCAAACTTCCATCAGGATTATTGGCCAAAGAAGGAAAACTGCCACGTTTGGTGATGTGGACGTACATGGTCCAAGACGCTCTTTCCTACATTCTACTTTCGGACAGGAGGGTTGCCCAAACTATTGTCTCGCCAATTTCCCTGGAAGATAAGAAAAGACAAGGGAAAAGAGAAAACTGAGAAAAATCCTCATGGCCATTTCTTTCTTCTTCTTCCTCTCTTTCCTTTTCATCCCTTTCTCCTCCTCCTCATCAGACCGTCTAGAAAACTTCATCATCCACGTGTCCAAATCACACAAGCCGTCCCTTTTCTCCTCTCACCATCACTGGTACTCCTCCATCCTCCATTCTCTCCCTCCTTCACCTCACCCCACCAAGCTCCTTTACGCCTATGAAATTGCCATCAATGGATTCTCCGCTCGTCTTACGGCTACGCAGGCAGAGAAGCTCAGGGAACTTCCTGGAATCCTTTCTGTGATTCCTGACCAGGTTCGTCAGATCCAGACTACTCGGACACCTCACTTTTTAGGCCTTTCGGATGGTGTAGGTCTTTGGCAGAACTCCTATTATGGCGATGGTGTTATAATAGGAGTTTTAGATACGGGAATATGGCCAGAACGCCCCAGTTTTACAGACTCCGGGCTGTCCCCTGTTCCGGATAGCTGGAAAGGTATCTGTGAGACAGGACCAGACTTTCCTGCTTCTGCTTGCAACCGAAAAATAATCGGTGCAAGAGCTTTTTACAAAGGCTACGAGTCTTATCTTGAAAGACCCATGGATGAAACAAAAGAGTCTAAGTGTCCACGAGATACTGAAGGTCATGGCACGCATACTGCTTCAACTGCTGCTGGATCTGTGGTTTCTAACGCCAGCTTTTTCGATTTTGCATATGGGGAGGCTCGCGGTATGGCTACAAAAGCAAGGATTGCTGCTTACAAGATTTGTTGGAGTTTAGGTTGTTTTGATTCTGATATACTTGCAGCTATGGACCAAGCAATTGCAGATGGAGTTAACGTGATTTCTTTATCTGTGGGAGCCACTGGATATGCTCCTCAGTATGATCATGATTCCATAGCAATTGGGGCTTTTGGTGCTGTTAGTCACGGTGTTGTCGTGTCATGTTCTGCTGGGAATTCTGGTCCTGGTCCATACACTGCTGTTAACATTGCGCCTTGGATTTTAACAGTTGGTGCTTCTACAATTGACAGGGAGTTTCCAGCTGATACGATTCTTGGTGATGGCAGGATATTCAGCGGTGTTTCATTGTACTCTGGTGACCCCTTAGTTGATATCAAGCTTCCTTTGGTTTATGCTGGTGATGTTGGAAATAGGTATTGCTATATGGGGAGTCTGAGTCCATCAAAGGTTCAAGGCAAAATCGTTGTTTGTGATAGGGGAGGGAATGCTAGAGTTGAAAAAGGAAGTGCGGTGAAGCTTGCTGGTGGGTTAGGAATGATACTGGCAAACACTGAAGAGAGTGGTGAAGAACTCATTGCCGATGCTCATCTTATTCCAGCTACCATGGTGGGTGAGATAGCAGGTAATAAGATCCGGAAGTACATCAAAATAAGTCCGTTTCCTACAGCTACAATTGCGGTTCGTGGAACAGTTATCGGGCCTTCACCATCAGCTCCAAAGGTTGCTGCTTTTTCAAGCCGTGGTCCAAACCATTTGACCCCGGAAATTCTCAAACCTGATGTCATTGCTCCTGGTGTTAATATCTTGGCTGGATGGACTGGTTTCGCTGCACCAACTGATTTGGACATTGATCCAAGAAGAGTTAATTTCAACATAATTTCAGGTACTTCAATGTCCTGTCCTCATGTTAGTGGATTGGCTGCTCTGCTTAAAAAGGCATACCCTAATTGGTCACCTGCTGCCATAAAATCTGCCTTGATGACAACTGCATACAATCTAGATAACTCGGGAAATCCCATTAATGATCTTGCTACTGGGGAAGAATCATCACCATTTGTTTATGGAGCCGGCCATGTGGATCCCAACAGAGCTCTTAAACCTGGATTGGTATATGATATCAATGATAGTGACTATGTTGCATTCCTTTGCTCAATTGGCTATGACTCGAAGAGGATTGCAGTTTTTGTCAGAGAGGCTACTAGCTCAGATGTATGTGAAGGGAAATTGGGTACACCTGGCGATCTTAATTATCCATCATTCTCAGTTGTTTTTGACTCTGATGCTCATGTAGTTAAGTACAAGAGGACGGTGAAGAATATTGGGACTTCAGTTGCTGCAGTTTATGAAGCTAAAGTGAATGCTCCATCTGGTGTTGAAATCAGCGTTTCCCCAAGTAAGCTTGAATTCAGCGAAGAAAACCAATCGCTGAGCTATGAGATTACATTTGCAAGTGATGGTTTGGCCTTGTCTGCTGTTGCTTCGCAAGCATTTGGGTCTATCGAGTGGAGTGATGGAGTCCATCTTGTGAGGAGCCCCATTGCTGTTAGGTGGCTTCAGGGGCTCAAGGATTCCATTTGATTAAGCAGATTGAAATGCTGTGAATAACTGGGGGACGACCCTCGTCTAGCATAGCTAAACATTGGGGTGTATTTTTATCAATCTGCACTTACCATCTTCTTGTAAAAATTAAAGCATCTTGTGTCAACTTTTCATTGTACTTCGATTTCCTGTAGCATCAATGAAGAATTTCAGTTGACTAATGAATGGTAATGAATGGTGAGCGTTCCACTAAATAATGTAACAATTATTGAAGAATTGGAACACTTCATATCAACAATGAATCTGAATGGAGTCGGTTATGCTGGAAAATTTTGTGTTTTTTTGCGGACTGTCATTGCTCTCATTAACTGTAAGTCTGTAATTAATAATTATACAAGTGAAAGGCCTTATTTTAAATGAAACGAATGAACCTAGAAAATTATAATGTGGGAATGTTTTCTGTTTACATGGTCCATGCTCATTGCTGATTGGAAAGACGCTTGAAATTATCACAGCATTACATCATGCTTGTTGGTTTGTAGAAAAATATCCAACAACCAATCTGAAATGAAACTAGCCAACAAAGTAAAGTTATTATGCAAAAAGGATGCCTTACCTTCTTTTTCTTTTCTTTTCATATTGGATGTGTGACTCATTGCTAATTAGTCCACGACTGGAAGTGGGTATGGCACAACTCATCCACAATGACCCAAAACCTTTTTCGTTTTTCCATGAGAAGTCAGAAATCAGAACTACATCAATCAGTACTTAAGAATAAGATAAAGTAGTAGTTAGAAACGTTACCAACGAAGACGCTTTGGCCGAGTGGTTAAGGCGTGTGCCTGCTAAGTACATGGGGTTTCCCCGCGAGAGTTCGAATCTCTCAGGCGTCGTTAGTTTTTTTCTCCGTTCCCGGAAAGTAGATACGGATTCCACATCAGTTGATTTACGGCCTTAAGTACGTTTTAACTTGTAACCACCCACCCCGGCCACCTGTTTTTCCTCATTATATCACCATCAGAGATGTCCTCCACTCCAGGAAATACAATACATTATTAAAAATTAAAATTATAAACGAAAATCCGATTGAAATAATGGTTTATGCGACTTTGAAAGATGAAAGTACGACACATGCGCATGAAAACCCGTAAGGAATCTTGATCAATTACAATAACTTCAGAAAACTGCACATTTGGCTTCAACTTGATCATCAGATTTAGAAAATTCTGATAGCGACTAACAAACTTCGTTCTGTCCTCTTTAACTTTGAGGTAACAAAGAAAAACAAAAAAAGCTCCCGTACTTGATGGTTGATCATCGATGCCACGGATTCTAATGACCGTACTTCTGAAATTCCCACTCACTGTTATCTGCATGAGAGGTGGGAAAAAGAGAGATAAAATGTGTCAATAAAGAACAAGAAACTTCAGCAATCCAACTTAATAGATCAAGTAAAGGATGAAAAAAAAAAATTAAAGGACTGATCTAGTGCACACCCAGTGGGCAAACGTGGCGGGTTTTGAGCCACCTGCTTATACAATGAAAATGGAAGGCGTGGTTACATACACCTGGTGAACACAATGAAATATTTTCCATGGTAAGATAATTGAGAAAATAGAGAACAATATATGAAGCATATCCTACCTATAGGGTGAGACAAATTGGCCTAAGCTGAACTAGGCATACATAAAAGATAGAAACTAATGTTAACATCTGAAGAACTATTTTGCTGTAGCTGGATTCAGTACATATAAAATGGAAAAAAGACAATAATTCAATCTGAAGAACAACTCCAACCCTGTAATCTGAAGTCAAAACTTCAAGCTGCCCAGCATAACCTAATGTAGAGCAACATAAAAGGAAAAAAGAAGGCACAGTCGGTCACTGCACAAAGGCAGACTGAAGTAAAGAGAAGTAGATAAAAAGATTATAAGAAGCTCGGATCCCTTGTCTCAACATCATTCAGTTACATAAAGCAATGGGCTGATGAAGTTTATCTCAATATAACCATCAACTTCACATAATATCTGTAGTGAAGTCACATAGTGCCTTGTGCACCAAACCAGCATGTCAACTTGCAAGCCAACCATGTCAAAGAATGGGACCTGACTTCTTCATCTCTATTAGCCAATATAACCCTTCTCCTTGAACAACAAAATGCTGCTAAGTTCAACATTAAAAGTAGACTCCTTCCAAAGAGTTAATTTCAGAGGACAATGTCGTTGAGGAAAAAACAGAGTATAAATATAGCATCATGTATGAGGTTTGAGGTTTCACCCATGTGACTAGTATGCAATTCTCCTAGGTTGGAAACAAAATCAATGACTAGAATACACGATGGTCATGTTTGGTGCATAGGATGATGGATAGGATAGTATGATAATCATTCTATATTATGTTTAGTTTGTGTCTAATTAAAAGGGATAGAATTACAAGAAGGATTATCATTCTCTTGGTATAAGATGATTCGATCCTCCCAACGTGGAGAAGATTATTTTTAATCCATGAGATTAAACTTACATATCCTATCATACTCTAAAAAATTACATTAATAATTTAAATTGTATAAACTTTGAAGAAGAATAATTTTGACTAATAAATAAATTATCCTCTCTTAATCTTTACACACATCAAATATAAGATAAGATGACATTATTTAATCTAATCATATTCATAATATCATCTTATCCTATCCTATCTTAATCTTGTGCATCAAACATGACCAATGTATAATTAAAAATACGACAACCTGAAAAGCAACACATCTTTGCTTTCAACTTTCTACGTTTGCAACTTACAATTTGGTTTCTGAATCAAAATAAACAAATAATGAACAGCAAGCAGGAAAATTAACAATTATACCATATGAAGCCTAAAGCAATAAGGTAACAGCGAAAGCATACTAAATTACAAATCAAACAAAGTTTGGACTACATATATTGACACATTAATCCAAAATTAACAAAACAATACTGAATAAATATAAGGGTTTCTGAAAGAGAAATTTGTTACCCCAGGCAACCGTGCACTCCTCACTTGTGGCACTAGCCTGATTGGCCTGACACTCGATGCCTAATTAACCAAAAATAAATGTAGTTCAGAATCAACCTATTTTTCGTTTTAAGAAAAAAATCCAAAAAATTAAAGATAAGAAAAGAAGAAATCACTTACAAAGATCCATGATATGGTTCCTACAAATTGCACAGTTGTCAACAACAATGTCTACACCAAAACCAAACAATATAATGTCAAAATTTAACCCAAAAAAGAAAAGAAAAACAGAAAAAGAACATTATCCATGAATGTAAATTTTACGAACCCCATGCCCAGAGAGCGACTGCACTCCACTTCTTTAGTTCGAAACGTCTTTGTTTCTTGGTGGTTGCCAGACCCGATGATAAAGAGGATCCAGCCACGTTCGAGCCACCTTCGGTTCCCCCAGCTGGGGCCATAGTCACATCAGTCGACATTGAGAGAGTTTACCTTTTGGTTCAAAGGAGTAAGAGAGAAGTCCACTACGGAAATCAGAAACTTGAAGGGAAAAGGTCGGCGAAATTACAAGTCCAAAAGTAAACACCAGACCATCCCAGACCTACCATGGGTTGGGCTCTCATCAAGTTATAATTTTACTTTTACAAAACAGGTTTTTCTTAATAAAATTTTTTTTTTAGTTTTTAATTTAGTTTTAAACATTTTTATCTTATTACATATATGGTTTAAAAAAATATTACACGCATAAATTTTTTTGAATTTGTAACTTTTAAATATTAATTTCAATAACATATTAATTGATTTAAGGAACAGTTGATACAACTTAAATTGTTAATATAAAATAAATTGTATAATTCTGTTAAGAGTTAATTTTTATGAAGTTTAGACCCATATAATTGATTTACGAGAGAATTCACTAACATGATGAGTAAACTCCTTTTACCATTTTTTTTCTTCTAATAGGTTTAAATAGATAAACTTTTTATACTCATAAAAAAGAATAATGATAAAATTCAAATATAATAATAAAAAAATTTACTATTGTACCATAATATAGTAATAAATTTATTCTTAATACCAAATTTTAAAGACTTGGATATTAATATGAAGCGGTCAGCCAAAACTAGACTGTCACCGGCCTAGGAAGGCTAGAAAAAATATAGTATTTTTGTATCGTCTTTAATCTCATATTAGAAAGATGTGTAGATAAAGAATGATATATATATGTAAATATTTAATCTCAAACTTGTGAGATATCTTTTGTAGGATAAAATCGTAAGACTTTCGAATCAAAGCGGATAATACCTCGTAAGTTGGATGCGAGTCTTTACAAATGATATTAAAGCGATCACCAGTCCGTAGTCGTGAGAATCACTAAGTGTTACACGATGATTTGATGTGATCTTGGTCCTGTGGATGGACTCGACTTGACAGAGACGTCAAGCATTAAAAGTGAGAAATTGTAATACACTCAATCCCATATCAAAAAGATGTGTGGATAAAGAATGATATATATGTAGAGATTTAATCTCAAATTTATGAGATGTTTTTTGTGAGATAAAATCGTGAGACAGTCGGATCAAAACGGACAATATCTCGCAAGTTAAGTGCGAATCTCTATAATTTCCATGGAGTTAGAGTAAAAATATAAACCATTCCCAACTATATCGACATGAATGAACATTAAAGAAATTTTGCTATATTTGTTGCTATTAGGATCAAGAAAGTTGCTGAGAGAGAGAGAGAGAGAGAGAGAGAGAGAGAGAGAGAGAGAGAGAGAGAGAGAGAGAGAGAGAGAGAGAGAGAGAGAGAGAGAGAGAGAGAGAGAGAGAAGGACCATATCCATGCAAAACAAACAAGGTTATGGGCTTTGAATTTGATCCATTCAATACCTAAATTTTATAAATGTATTTTAATGAGTTGCCCATGCTTCAACTTCATCAACATTATCTGTCATGTGTGGTCAAGGGCCAGCCAGTGCGATTTACAACACAAACGCATCCGGTCATGTAAAATTACTAATGTAATTTGGAATTGTTGAAGGATATTAGTTTAAGAAAAATTTTAAAGATTTTTTCGATCATTTTATGAAAGAAATAAATTTATAATTTTGTATTTTTATCAATAGTAATATAATTTATTGATAAAATGATGAATTTTTAATTTTAATAATTTCAAGCATAAAAAAGCATTAAAAAAAGGGCTTCTCCCATAAGTGTAGCTTTAATCTTAAACTCTATGAGTAAAATCAACTAAAATTAAACAAAAGCAAGAATTGGATTCTATATATTGTAACGTAAAAAAAAAAAAATCACTATGCCAAAGACTTTTATTTATTGGAATAGTAACAACTCAAGCGCCCCATGCTTCCGTGATGCTTTTGTTTGCATATAAGTCAGCCGACTCAACTATCATATATAAAACTCGCTCAATTTTCTCTTAACTTTCTCCCTAACACCCCCCACACGACATGGCTATAGATCAGCAAACCACCCCGAAACCTCCCCTTCGAACCCATTTGGCCACCACATTTCAATGCCAGGCACGACGTAGAATGTTCTTCCTACGAAGACGTAATAAGTTGCCGACGGTTCGCCTTGGTGGGAAGAAACCACGGCGAGGGCTTTTCATAGTGAGGGTATTGAAGAAGATGAGGCTAAGGTGGGTGAAGTTGCAATATACGTGCATGTTAAGGAAGCTTAGGAAATATTATAGGAATTTGATTGAGGATATCATTGAAGCAGGAGCAAGTGTGGAGGCTTTACAGCAAAGAATATTTATGGAGTCCACTTTCGCTGTCCCGGTCATGGGTGTTTCGTTCTCTAGCTTCCCTTCTGCAACTGCATCAGATCGTCCTCGTCCCTTGTTGTTTTGAAACATTTTAGTTTTTTCTTCATTAAGTCCTCAACTGCCTCCTTTTCCTTTTGGTTGTTCTAGTGTTTTTCTTTTCCCTCTTTTACTTGGCCTTTTACAGGTTCAAATCATCAATCTATATAAGATATATTGAAATGAAAATGTACAAATGTTTTCTACCATTACAATAATGTCCCTTACTACTACTTCTAATTATACTACTATTGCCCTTTCTATTGCTTTTCCCGATTGTTAATTTCTAGCATTACTCAATATGCAGAGGTAAGAATATGAGTACATTGTGGCCATCAGTCATCTTACCTCTTATCTTATAGGGTAGTGAACTTTTAGTTTTAGTGATTCCATATTTACTAATCTTAATTATAAAAAATGGTATAAAATTAGGAGACCTGCCTGGCATGGGTGGGATTGGAAATTTGAGTGCAATCTAAGTTAGCAGCTCATTTTATGGTTAAAATTACCACTTTTCCAGTGACCGTTTTGTCAAGAAAGCTCAAAACCAGGGCTCGTTTCAGGGGAACCGACGAATTCAATGTGTTTGCTGCCTTATATTATCAAATTCTATTGATCCCTAAGCGTTCTTTAAACAAGTGACTTGACAACTGATCCTAACTAATTGAAAATTACTTGCGAGCTAGTTGTAATCTAGAAAACTCCAAAAAATTTAAGTACTTGTTCTTTTTCATATGAAAAATCATGCAAAAGAATTCACTATCGGACAAGATAGCCGAACAAAACTTCAAAATTAACAAGTGAACAGACATAAATAAAAATATATATAATTTTATAAAGCTTGAAGAAGAGAATGTTCAGGCAGCTTTCTTCATCAACATCAACGTCATTAGCTAGATTCCAGGTGGATTATCATAAACTACATCAGGAGAAAACATCCTTTTCTATTCAATATTAGAGCTGAATTAATGCTTGAGAAAAGAAAAAGGTTAAAATGACTTTGAATATGTTGATGAAATGAGAAGGAAAATTCTTGTTGATGATCCTGTATTCAACTTGGTGTTGTCATTTTGTTCTGCCTGACAAATTGGGTATAAAAAAAAGCAGAGGACTTTGCATACATCATTAACTACAAAAAATTGCTCAAAAAAATTCAAAATCTTCATCTTATATATCTGTCTTCTTTGATGACCAGTCCTCTCATTGAGTAAGCTTTTGGAGGGCCACTTTCATTTGCATTTTCTGGTAAACTTAATAGTAATAAGCTAATGTGTTTGATAACTATGATTGATACCATCTCAAGAAGTTAATCTTAAATAATAAAGAAATGGAAAGTCGTATGGAACTATGAATAAATATATTATGATTCAAACTCTGTTCTTCCAGCAGGGATCATACACCAATCACTTGAGCCAAATATCGGAGCCCAAGAAACATGTATGCTAAATATTTGATACAAGAATTGGCCGGTAGCAAAAGCTGATCCTCATGTCATGTGATGTTTGATGTTTATGTAAAGGAAGTATGTCAGCACTATGACCCTCATTGCAGATAGGTCCAACTCTATATGCGTCTGAGATGCAAAATCCACATATTTTACAGATGGAAGTTTGGAAGACGTTGAAAACACTCCCCCTTTGAATTCAACAGCAGCATGATCAATATATTCCTTGATTTCATCTCAAGAAAGCACCAAATTTATATCATGTGCTGATAGCTGTAAATCATTTAATATGCAGTACTAAACCAATTATTGAACAATTGATATTCCGAATCACATGGACTGGCCAGTGGCCATCATGTTGATGATTTCCTCAAAGGAAAACAAACTACTATAAACTACCCCTTATCCTGATCAGATCCCACTGAGACTGCTCAATGAATCTGTGTTATTTGATCAAAGATTGAAGGGTTTCCACCGAACAGCTAGAACATTCTGGCCATTGCCTCATCATCGTAGCCGTGTAGGGAAAGGTTGATTAACGTCTTTTCTTTGTTTTATTTTGTTTTTCAAGACGCTGAAATTAAAAACTCACCACTTTATCAAGAGATTGCGCGACTGTTGGCAAATCTTTCATTAAGTTGGACCCAACTTACATGTAGTAACTTAAATTTGAGACGTCAAGGTTCCAAGATTTCCTCTTTACCACTAGCTAAGACAACATGTGCTTTAGTAAACTCCCAAATCCCTTTTAAAGATAATACGAGTCCACAATATCAAATCCCTAACAATCAGTCAAAGGTCATCTCCCGGCTACAAATAATTAAGAAATGCACTTTCAATTTCACCTTTTTGCAACAATACAATATTTTCTCAATACATTGTCAAAAAGACGGTAACATGGTTTCTCTTTCATCCAGTTTCCTGAACTGGATGCAGGAAATCTTGCAGGAGAATTGTTTTCAATTCCAAGCCTTTATTTTCCCAGTTTGGTCCATCTGGTTTCACAGACTCAAACAATTCTAACAAATCTTCATACCGTACTGGCCTTTCCTAAGGATTTAGAGGACAGATGGATAGAAGCATTTGAGAGAAGGAAAGTACCGATAAATGATCGGTCAAGACAGGCCAGAGTTTCTTGCAATGCATGCATATACACTCAGAACTCAGAAACAGTAGAAGAAGATATCTCTTCTCAATTGCGTGATTCAACGGCGGAGTACTAATTGTAACTACAGCCTCTTTTGGGTATTACATTAGGCAGATAATTAAGAGGTAATCACAATACCAAGGGAAACGTCATTTAGAGTCGTTGACTCTCAAAAAGCTCGTAGAGATTATATAATTGTCAAAATCTTACAATTCTTACTCCCATTCATAAGATTATATATATATATATATATATATATATATGGTTTTGTGTGTTCTCATCCAAAAGGAAGAAATTGAAGGTAAAAATTTTTGCCTCTAAAAACAAAAAATTGATGTATTTAGGTGAAAAGTTTGAAATATTAGTCATGAAATACATAGTACTTGTCCACATTATGATACAGTATCTAGCGAAAAGGAGAGAAAACAATGGAGTCTGTTTCTCCGTATACACTCCTCATGGAACTCTACTGCAACTTTCCTTCTCTAAGTATACTTGGTGATGCAGGCAAAAAATTGATAAACAGTACCCAGGATGATATCGAATACATCTCCGGAAAAGAAATCTTTTAAATTTATCTGAGGCCTATTTAAATCATTGTACAATGACCCTCCCGCTTTTCTGGTGCCATAAAATCACATGTGTACAACATCTGTTTAGCAATGTTTACAAGCTATGTTAAAACCAAAGCAACGAGAAATGGCACCGCACCGTTTAGTAGAGAGGAATCAGCCTCTTGGTTGAAGGGGAGTCATGGCCTCGTGGATTATTAAGCAATCATAAAATCTGGTGAAATAAACAAAAGTTACAACGATGCCATTTACCACCTGCTGTGATATCGATGACTATTAAACCGAGATGAATAATCAGGGTAGCTATTATCCCATCTTTCATCACTCTCATTTTCAAATCTGGCTGAGCTATGAATTCTTGGTGAATTATGCCTCGATGAGTGCAGTGAAGAGCTAGGAGAACCATGACTTCCAAAGTCTTCATATGCTAAAGGGCTCCTTCTACCCCTCTCAGAATGGGACCTTCCCAAGGTTGGGCTTCGTGGCCTTGGAATAAAATCTCTGGGACTATTACAACTGTAAGGAGAATCATAATTACCATAACTTGGGGGATAGGATGAGCTAAATCTAGAATCAACCCCTGGAGGGCCTTCATCTGCAAAATCCCCAAAATGCCTTAGCTCATGATGCCCTCTGCTGCCAGGTTCAGAAGAATGGTTTAATCTACGCTGTGATCTACTCCTAGACGATTCAGAACTCGAAGGAGCAAAAGCCCTACTCCTAGACAATTCAGAACTTGAAGGACCAGGAGCCCAAAGTTTTTCATCTGCCTCTACAGGGATTGGTGCATTTATTCCTGGAAATTCAACAGTCATTTTCCACTTGGGTTCAGGATGCACCATGTCGGCAATTTCCCCATCTTCCTGTCCTTCATTGGTTTCTCCATCAACAAATATTGTAATTCCTGATGGCTGATCCTCATCATCAGGAGCTGAACATATTTGACAACAGCCAATTTGAAAATAGCATGAGAATAATAAATGACAACTTGACAAGTCATATTTGTTCAATGTTAAAGCTGATAACGCAAACAATTTAAACTAACTGGCATACAATAGTTCTATCTAGACACAGTGCTTCGAGATCAGAAAACAGTGAATTTAAGAGCTAAAAGTGCAAGCCTTTTTTATTTGTGGCCTGGAATTCCATAGGATTTGCTGCCTTGTGTCTTTTCCACATCAATAGAACACTTTGCTTATATATTTTACTTTCTTGATGCATAAGACATGGAGCCCTTAGGATTTATTGTTCCAATTATTTGCTGCAACTAACTGATAATAGTTTATTAGTCAACCACTCGCATGTTACTCATGAACTGGTATGCCACATCATGGATGTGTCCAATAGCTATTTGTCACATAAGATGGTGCAAATAGTTGGGGCAAATGGCATGTCCATCACAGACAGCTGATTGCGATTTCTTCCAATTGTGAATATTTACCAATAATGCTTCACCGCAATAACTATAAATAAGATTGAAAGCCTATAGATGTGATGTGTTTAGTTACCTAGATATCCTGGAGGGTACCCAATTTCTCGCATTCTGTTAAGCCAAGGTGGTGGATCAAACTCCTGTGAAAGCAAATAAATAAGGAATTTTAAGTCTTAAGGTTGAAGGAAAGCCAGTCCAATTCCATCATTATCCAAGGGATGAATATATTAACACAAAACAGAAACAACTTAAAAACAGATATTGAAACTGAATTAAACATAAACACATGCACAGAAAAATTAATTTCCTCCATGTTTAGCCAGACAGCATCCGCTTTCTGTCAAAATTAAAAGATCTGAAACACAAGAAGGTGACTTCATGTGTGAAAAATGCATTGTAGGCGGGGGGGGGGGGGGGGATGAGAAGAAGAAACAGAACAATGTATTTGACAACTTAATTAACTATCATAGAAATACTGGCAACCTTTAAGGGCATTAATACTCAAGCAGACAAATTTTCAGAAAAGGGGAAAATTAAAAAAAAAAAAGAAATTCAAGCTTATGCAACATTTTGAAGATTACTACCCGAACTCTGCATTTAATTAAACCCTCTGATAAAGTCATTATTATTTTATGATTTTTATTCTTCTTAGGATTGGGCTCGTCCGTTCAAAACACAAACTTTCAGTTAGGAGAGGAGAACAGCTTCAAAAGACTGATCAAAATGATCCACTGTTCCGCACCAGTGTTTGGCAGAATCTTCATAAAAAAAATCATTAGTTCACTTTAGTGATGCATCTATCAAAGGTTAAATAACACTTCAACAACTTAAACATATTTCCTACCACTTCGCAAGTTGAATAAGTCAATTGTCCATGCCCATTAAGCACAAAAGATAAAGAAAGAATTTGTCAGTTAGCTATGCAGAATAAATCAACTGTTCATGCCCATTAAGCACAAAAGAAAAAGGTGGAATGTGTCCCTTAGCTATGTACTTGGCATCTAGTAGTGGAGTGGACACGCTTGTCATTAATGCTAACAATATAATGAGAGGGTTTTCAGAAAACAAAACTGAAATATTCCTTGAAAAGCCTTTTTTCTCATCATATATAGAAGGGGTTGGAAGAAGAATTTCAAATAGAAGGATGAAACAGAAAACATAAAATAAATAAATAAAATAAAATAAAAAACTTATGGAACAGGATGTTGGTTCTTTGGAATTTTAAGGCCTCAATTTATCAGATGTATAATGACTGGGAATTTTAGTACTGTACACAAAATCTTGCTAATTTTCATGTAATATTTGGTTGTATCATACGATACCACAAAAAGAAGGGGACGGGGGAGTTGTCATGGAATCGAAGGAGCATATTACCCCGAGGCCTATTAGTTGTCGTGTTTCAGCACTAAGAACACCTGGCTTTAGCTCATCATACTTTCCACCTTGAGAGTTCTGATAATAGCGAATTGCACTGCGAGAAGCAGTATTCTGATTACGTTTGGATTTGTAGCGTTGCTTTCGTGCAGTGTTGATAGCAACATTGTCACGAGGCTTTAGGCATTGCTTCAGGGAATGACTATAAGAACCACAGTTGAAACAACGCGAAGCATCATCTTTTATCTCCAGGCCTCTACAATATGCAACAAAAATAGTTAAGAAAACATCGAACATTTAAGGTGACTGTGCAAACATAGAAGTAGGAGAGCCACGCAGGATACAAGCTGCATCATGGTTATAGTTACGCCAACTAAAATAACATTTTTTTTTTGGCTCGACAATTTAACAAACTTGGTTGGCAAGAAAAAAATTTCCTTGCTATGATTTCTGTTTCATATTTGATATTTCAGACTGGTGACTTGTCTATTAACTGATTAACAATAGTCAAGCTACCATTGCTAGTTGTCACCAAAACTTCCTAAAAACGTTAAAGTTGACTCCAATTTTTAAAACCCAAGTCCAATATATCAATCAGACCAAATAAAATGTTACATATTTGACAAATGCAGAGCACTAAGATAATAATAAACCTAAGCTGTATACTGCTAAACAAGCCAGTGTTGCACATGCAATTAAGCAACAATTAGAATTAACAAGAGCATAGATAAGTCAACAATGAAATAAATGTTAACTTGTATGCCTTTTTTTGGAGTGAGAATTTGTATGCATTCATTGTAAGCACAATTAATTTGGAAGCTATTATGAGCTACAAAAGAGCAGTCATGAAAGTGCAAGCACATAAAATAGAGCCCTCAAAGCTTATAAAAAATTTGCATGGGCAAACAATATTACAAAAAGTGCAGATGAGAATTTACCCTTCCAAATTACTTGAACCATCTGCTGAAGTCAAACCCATTGCATATCCACGATCATAAAGAGGCACAATGTTACTATCCAATGGGATGAACTCCGTATCATGCGGATTCCTTGTTTGGTTGTCAATCCAGAATGACTACAAATCCCCTCAAAAAATCAAACTAAAATATAGAGAAAATGCAATAAACTTTAACGCAATGCATCGGGCCATTTTAGGACAGAAAATGCAGACCTCGAGAAACTTTAATGTCCATAAAATTTACAAATAATAAGGGAGGAATGGTAAGGGCTTCAATGTCAAATCCATTTAGAGATTAAAAATTGAACAACCACCTCTTTCAAGAGAGAAAAAAAAATTCACTCGTGATTTAGAATTTCAATAATGAAATTATTACATGATATCAGATAGCTAATGACATTAAAGAAGAAAATACTAGAAGGTCCAAAACTCTACTTCTAATAAAAACTATTCCAATTACAAAAATCCAAATACATACATTGGTACAAAACACTGAATGTCTAGAGGACTAGAGACGAGCTTACCACAGCAGAGGGCTTCTCTGCACCAACACAGAGAGCAGGAAAGTACGTCTCTTCTCCTGATTCTGTAAGTTCATTTTGATCCTGACCAGATTGAATTATATTCAGTTGCACATAATGTCAAGGATAAAATAACCGCATTATACAACAATATAAAGCCAAGATGAGCACACATCCGTGCTTATAAGTCCACATGTGCATACACCAAACCATATGCATATGCATGCATCTATGCATATTCACTTGCATGCATACATATTGACACACCCATCCATCCATCATAACACACAAAGACACTATCAAACCAATATGCATGCATACAGCCGTCTATCAATACAGAAACAGACAGCACACATAGGCATTTACATATTTTTTTGAGTGAAATAATGTAATTCCTTTTTCCTTTTGGTTAATATTGACCCTAAACTCATTATAAAATTCGAGAAAGAAAAAATCCACAAGGCAAAAGTAAATAAAAGTGATAACCAACAGATATTTCATTAGGAGACACTGGCTCAGATATTACATCTATTTGAATGTTATGATTTATGATGAAATTTAAAAGTTCTATCTACCAAGTGAACACACTTAGGGGGATGAGATACTCCCAATGAACTCCACAAGTTCACAACAATACCTAATTGAGTTTAAAAAGTAGGTGTAGTAAACCATAAATTGTCAATAGATTCTCAAAAATTGAAGGATAAGATACCTCAAGGAAAAAATGACAATATACAATATAGTGATAGGGCATCAGAAACCAAGGCAAGAGAAAGAAAGGTAAATCCATGCGCTACCCTCAGTTCTAAATTAGACAGAGGCTTCACTTAGTGATGAATGGAGGTAGAAAAATTGAAAACCAAACATTTAACCAGACTTACTTGGGATGAAGAACCATGTTCAGCTTGCCACTCTGACCACTTCTGCAAAAGTTCCTCAAGCTTCTGTTTACTAGCTCTGGAGAAAGGTAAAAGGAGATAACAATAAGAAACATAGCTGAAAAGAATGCAAAATAGTTTCCAAACACACTGTATCTTAAGAAGTCCTATTCCAGTCTGTTAAATAGAACTTCAAGAAAAAGAATTAAAACATGAAGCTTCTTAATTTTTTTGATTTTCAGAAGTAATAACTCTTACTCCAACCCTAACCTTGTTAAGAAATTATACACAATATGAACAGAAGGTTGCTGGTCATCAAATGTCATCCGTGGTCTCTTAACACCAGATAGAGCTGGCAGATTGAATTATGGAAAACAAAAAATCATCATACTATAGGCTGCAGAGAAAGTTCCATTTCTGTTGATATGGAATTGCGCTTCTGGAACATATGACTACTGAAGCAAAGCTCTTGAACAAGAGCTGGCAAATACAAAAGAAAACAAGCATGGATAACAACTGAGAAGCAGGATACAAATACCATCTATCATGTGGTTCTGGATGGGACTTCCATTTTGAACATCAAGACGCCGCTTTTTGGTGGGCACTGAATTGCCATCCATTTTCTCTTCAACTGTAAAAGATTCAGAATGAGCTCCAGAGCTGATGTCATCCAATTTCTCTTCAACTCTCGCAGTTTCAGTTATTTCATCACTTATTTGCATGTCGGATGAATCATCAGCAAAAGTGTTGTCTACCTCCGCTTCCACAGTTAAATGGCTCTGGGAATTTCTAATATCACCTTCATTCAGCTTCAGGATCTCAGCTTTCATTTCACCATCTTTAGCCTCAGCATTAGTAGGTAGAGATTCCACTTGATGAGGTCCATCATCCAAATCCCGAAGTTCACCACTTTCACTTCCAGATATTGAATTGCTAGATGCAGGAAGGTTAATTAAATCCTGACCTTCCATACTTTTATTACTGCATAAGGTAAAAGCCCTCATTAGCAGACTAAAATATAATCACCACATAACCAACTACCATCATGAACCAAGAGATAAAACTTAGAGAAATAAAAATAGTTAAATTCAGCTCTGATTTGATTGTTACTTTTTCTACCTGGTTTTTGTTTCTTAAAAAGTTAATATAAACCAAAAGCATAATCGATAAAAAAGGAACAAATAAGTAAACCACACACCAATTCTAACACAAAAACAACAATCAATGGTATCAAAAATACAGACCTGTGTTAGGCAAATTTACTTAATACAAAACTAAGAAAAGCAATATGCGTCTAAAACTTGATTCCAGGCTCAGGCAAAGGCATTCAACTAATCCAAATCAGGAAGCACAATTCAAAATTGAATGAATGCCAGTTCAAAGATTAAAGGCATTAAATCATAACTAATGTCAACTACTCTAAACCGTTTTAAGTTCCCTTAACATCCAATTTGACTTTGTTTTGATTCTTTTAGTTCAAGAATTTGACTATTCTAACATGTATCAAATAAGCAGAGCTCCACAAGTGAAAGTAACAAGGGTAACCAATCCTAACAATTACCAATTAATTGACGATTCTAACAGAAGTTGATCTCAACAAACGAAGAGACCAATAAGCAGATCACTTCAACACAGAAAACCAAATAAAGCTGAAATTTTTTTCAATACCCAGATCACTTCTCATCCTTGCAAAAAAAAAAAATGCCTTTCTTTAATAAATTTCTAAGTCTAACTAAACTAAAAAAAGCCATAAAACTTCTTTCATTAATTTTTTACATGCTCACCATAAAGCAACAATTTTTTTCTTTTCAGATCTCAATGGCTTGTAAATAATCAAAGGAACTGTCTTACTTTGTTCATTCATAAACGAGAAAAGGAAAGAGAAAAGTAACCCACAAATTTGTTCTCCTCAAAACAAACAAAGCATAATTTGGGTTTTTTCTAGAAAAAAAAAAAAAAGATTAGATATTTCGAAAGCAACTTAACCAGAAAAATTTTAAAACCTAGAAATTCATAATTCTCCAAACAAATCACAAAAATATTTAATAAAAGAAATTACCAAAACTTGCGTTTAGGATATGCAGCTGCTTTGAAATTGTAAGGGATTGACGGTAGAGAGGGAGCTTTGTTAGAGAATTAGGTCTTTGTGGGTAGGAAAATTTTTAAAAATAAAAATAAAATAAACGAGAGGGGGAGAAAATTGAAAAACTATAAAATCAGGGGTATTTTTGCAAACATCTTATTTCTTATTTACCCCCATAAAATTAAGAAATGACTTCAAAAAATTAATTGTAAAAAATTATTAAATTTTTAAAAATTAAAATACCCTTTACATATTTGGCTAAAATATTAACAAAAAAATCCTCAACTATGATTGAAGAAATCATTCAAATCTTTTTATAATTTTCAAATATCTATTTACAATTAATTAAGCCTTCATTTTGGATGAAAATTGTCACAGAGATAACAGCGTTTGTTTTTACCATGTGGCGTGCCATAAAAACAATAGATTGGAGACGTCGATGGCCAAGTAATATTTAAAGGAAATCTTGATTGTTGGTATAGTGAATTGACCTCCATGAAAAGCGAAAAGCAGATAGGGTGATGCAAGAGAAATTTGAGACTACTAACAAGCGAATGAGGTATTGAATATCTATTTGACATGGATCACTCAGTGAAGATTTTGATGTATCAGTACTGTTGTTTTACTTGAAAAAGATAAGAATAAGAAATTGAAAAGACATTTTTGAAGAATCTAAATTTGGAGGTAAAGGAAAACTTGACCATAACTCCATAAGAATCAACCCCTGGTGAAGATTCTGCAGTACTGAATGCCCCAATACTCTTATATAATACGATATTTCCTGAAAAAACATATAGTGCTTGCAGCAAGCCCAACAATTTCATCTCCTCCCTGCTAACCAGGTTCAGGACCAAAGAAAACTTGGATCGTAATTCGCAGGTTCCAACTTTCATGAAATTGACTCGCCCTATTTTCTGCAATCAAATATATCTTGCCAATATCTTGGCAAAGTCAACAATCGTATAATTGTTTGCTTTCAGTCTAAATTATCCTTTAAACTAAGCCAACCACCAAGAAAAGTTTATTCCCCACTCTTTGACGGATTCTTTTTCGAGTTTTTGGTCTATTTAAACCAATTCATTGGAAAAGGAAGTAAACCCAAGCAATCTCTAGCTAAAAGTATAACCGACCAACCCTCCTCTCTCTCTCCCTTTCCTAAACTTCAAAACTACAAAGGCAAGCTTGGTACGTTAACTTGGAAAGGACAGGAAGGAAAGGAAAGTTAACTTGAAACGTTTGTTTCGAAATTATGCAAATCAGGGCAGCGGCCTGAGCAAAGATTGGCTCAAGGATGCTTTTGAACATCTCGGTGCAGTAATGCCACACAAGCACGCTGAAGAGGCTACGAGTGTAACTGATAAAAACAATGACAATTTCGTCTGCAGCACCGAGGAGTTCAATTCTCTTGTAGAATATGCTTATAATAAGGGTTTCGGGGATTCCATTTGAGTGCAGATCATGGATCAGCCCAAACTCTTTATCGGCTGTTGGTGATAATTTCTCTATCATATATGTTTGATATCCTGTCGTATGATGAAACATAAATTACTTCCTTTTTCTTTAATAGGATATAGTCCGGTGAGAATTTAATCTAATCCCGTTTTGATTCCAAAAATACCATTGCACCTTGAGGATTCAATAGTCTTTGGGAGTCAAATAATGATGGATCTATAAATTTCTTTTTTCATCTACTTATAATATATATATATATATAATTACTTACGAATTTATTGAATTTATCGATGAAAATAATATTCAAAGATAAATTTTAAAGACGTACAAAAACTTTTTTTCTTTCAAATCTTTTTTATTTTCTTAACTTTTGGAGGTGTCCATAAACACCTTTCATGTCCGTATTTATCTACTCTTAAAGGCAAATATTCTCTCCACCCCTTTTCTTTATCATTTTTTTGAAATGTCTCTAAATTATATATTTTTTAATATCTAAAACATTTATTTTTTATATTTTAAACTAGTTTTTTTATCCGTGTAAATGCACAATATTTTTATATTTATAATAATATTTAATTTAATTTATTAAAATTTTATATAGAATTTTTGTAGATTTAAAAGTTTATTTTTATTACTAAATATTTATATCTTCTCTCTTTATTATTTTTAATTAAATTTATATTTTAATATTAAAATATTTGATTTAATTCTTAATTTCATAAATTAAAAGTACAAAATAAAAAAATAATTTATCAACAAAATTTTCAAATAACTTTTTGACCTCCATCTTAATTTAGAAAAGTATATTAATAAACATTTAAAAATTTAAAATTTTTAATTAAATTCATTTTATAAATTTGATTATTTAATTGGCAAATAAGAGAAATCTACTATATAAAAAAAGTTTACATAAAATTCAAATGTAGTAAGTATTTATAGATCCCATGAAACTATATAAAAAAAAAATTGATAATTAAAAAAAAAATGTAACTAAAAGTTAATAATGAAGCCGATTAAAAAAATAAAAAAATTTTAAATTTAAGATAAAAATGTGATTTAAGAAGTCGAACCAAGAAAAATTTGTCAGATTCTAAACCATTCCTCAATCCCCTAAACATTTTATTTTTTCCATGTGTACATACATTTTTCATTCATTAAAAACAATAATGATAAGAAAACTTCAATTTAAAATTTTTATCACCATAATAGAATAGAGTTTAGAGTAACAGTAATATAATTGATATATATTAACAAAAAATCATATGAAAATAAAAAAAAATGAAAACCTTTAAAATATAAAAGCACATACTCAAGGAAACAAAAAAAAAAAAAAGCTTTTTTTATGAAACATCCATTATTTATTTTTATTGATCGTATAAATTATTGTAAAAAAAAAATAAGAATAGGAAAAATTAAGGGAGAAAATAGAGTTTAAAAAAAATATGAATGAAAAAAATACTTTTAGATAAAGAGTTTGAAGAAATCTAAAATGGAAGGAGTAAAGAAAAGAGTTTTAGATAGATAAAATTTACGTAAGTAAATTTTATCAAATTTGTATATATGTTACAATATAATATTATATGATTATCTTTTATGATTTTTTTATTTTTGACATTAAAAAATATAAAATCTTAATTTTATAAAAATTTTAATTTTAATATTAAATACATTAAAATTAAAGTTTTTTTTTTAATTCCTTGAAAGTCAATAAATCATAAATAAATTAGGATGGAAGGAATATGAGATATTAAATGCTATAGTTTTTAATATTCCCTTTAAAAAAAAAAAACAACAACGACGACATAAAAAAAAACAATTGATAGACCTGTTTGTGACCTAATTCGCCCTAAGAATAAGTGTCAAAAGAAACGAGGGTCACCCTCTATTTCCACCACTCATTTATTTAAATTTTTGAATGGTTACATTAAATGGTATAGTTTCACCGATTAAGAATATTTTACAGAGAGATTTCTACAACCACGTTATATTACCAAAAATAGATTAATATATCATTTTTTTATTTAATGATTAATTATTAAGAAAACAATAATTTTTTTATAAGATAGAATGTTACGATCCAAACCTAAAATCTTTATCTTAATATCAATCAATACTTATCACTCGATGTAAATTAAATGGTTAAATAATTCAAATTTATCATTGAATTATTATTATTATTTTTTAAATATATTTATTCTTTTAATATAGCATAAGCTTACAATCATCGTGATACTTATTTTGACGAATATGAAAAAGAGAATATTGATGGTCTTGGTCACGGGAGATATCATATAATAAGGAATGATATATATTGATTACCAAATGATATGGATTTTGGATTTGTACAATATTTAGCCAACATAATTTAATGATGAATGCATTCTTTTTTCTGTTCAAATTAAGAATTGCTTCAAATATTTTATGATTGATGTATTTTTTTTTCAAATAATTGAATTTAAATTCTTTAATATAATAATTATAGAAAAAAAAGGATAAAAAATATTTTTTTTGAATTTATTGTGCACCTAATAAAATTAAAAAAAAAATCAACTAGAAAGCAACACAAAAAACAAAAAAAAAAAAAATTAACAATCAAGGAGAACAACAATTTCAAAATCAACACAATACACAATTCGGCAAAATACAAAATTTCAACAACACAATCAACAGATTTGAATTTAACAATTCATTCAGCAATTCTCAATGCTGGCAAACACAATGAAAATTTTCAGCAACCACACACATCAACAGAAGCAATAAAAAAAAGATATTAAAAAATGGAAATGGGATTTTAGTTTCCCTAAAGCTTTGATTTGTGGGCTTTGAGGATTTCATTTGGGAAATTGAAGTAAAAAAGAGGCAAAAAAGAAGAGAGGCAGCTAAATCAATAATGGTGGACGATGACACACGACGATCGAAAAACTTTTGAACTTCTAAGTTTAAGTGAATCGGAGTGGTAGAACTATAAGTTTTAGAGTTTTAAATCGCAAACTGTTTTTACAGATTTAAAAAATCTACGAAAATTTAACTTGACAAAAAAAAAAAAAAAAGAAGAGGTGACGAGGAACATTTGGACGAAATTTGAAAGCAAACTAATTTCAGGGAGGGGCAATGGACAGCGTCGATAACGCCCGACACGGTGGCCAATCGTCGAAATCTAGGTAAAGTGCGGGTTTTGATTTTTGGAGAGAGAAAATCAAACGGGTAGAGAGAGAATAATGAAAGGAAAAGCTTGAAAATGGGTATTTATATGATTATACCCGATCCAAAATGACATTACTTTGATAGTTTTAAGTTTAATTATGTGGATTTTTTTTGTTTGTTATGTGTTTCTTTTATTTAATTATTCTAAATAATTTAATTTAATTTGTTTAATTTTATTCGTATTTAATTCTTAAAATATAAATGAATAATTATTATTTAATATCATTTAAATAAATTAATATTTCTTAATTTAAAATTCATTTTAAAACTATATTAATAAAATAATTAAAAAATATTAAAAAAGAAAAAAGAAGCAACATATTGAAACTGGACGGTGAGAGCGAGATGATGAATTTGATTATCACATTAATCATTGTAGGGCCGTAAAACCATTGTGGCTGCTTCTGGACAAGAAAGGCCTTAGGCCGGTGGTCTAATCAACTTTCGATGTAGTGG